TGAGCCCCCCCAGCTCCCTCAGCCTCTCCTCCCAGTACTTGTGCTCCAGTCCCTTCCCCAGCCTCGCTGCTCTCCTAATAGGTGCTGCCACCACCCCCTGTGCTGGCTCTGAGTGTTCCTTGGTCTAATGCCAACCACTTAAGGAGGGCCCATCTGAGCCTGCGGCCGCGGGGTCACCGGTTCCCGCATCCCGGCTCCGAGCAGATGCTCGGGAGCAGCCAGGAAACCGTAATGCACTTAAGGCAGTCTGACACTGCAGTGGGAGCAGGGGATCCTATTTCCTTTGCCTGCAAATGGAACCCATCACCAGATCAGCCTGTGGTGCTTCAGGACGTTCCCCGGCTCCCTGCAGGAGATCCAGATATCCAGCCCCAGATTCCAAGGTGTCCATGAGTGGGGGTTTCCCCCTTTTTTAGCTGTCTTGGTTGTTCTTGTATCACCTCATTATTATTCAGGTAATAATTCCAGAGAATGGGTGGGAAAAGCACCATACTGAGGCAGAAAGAAAAACTAATAACAGAGAATAATTACATCTAATGGTTAAAATCAGCAATGAAACACCTTGTCCGACCCTGAGACATTTCCATGGAGTCATGGAATGGTTTGGATGGGAAGGGACCTTAAGGATCATCCAGTTCCACCCCCTGCCATGGGCAGGGACACCTTCCACTAGTCCAGGTTGCTCCAAGCCCCTTCCTGGCCTGGGACACTTCCAGGGACGGGGAGGTGTTAAAACAGTCTCCTTTTCCCTATCAATAAGATGGGGTTAAATTTCTATCCCTTCCAGGGAAAGTGAAGTGGGTAAGGGATTGGAATCCCTCAGGAAAGCCCTGCAGAAGGGTAAGAGCATTCCTGGAAAGAAGCACTTATTGGGAATATCAGCAAATTAAGGCTTTGCAAACAACACCGAGCAGGGGGAATTCGCGGGTGAATCCCATCACGCCTCTGGGAGGTGTTTTCCCCCTCCTTCCCGCAGCCAGTCGTCCCAAATCACCCCCAGTGCCATCTCCTCCGGACAGAGGGAGTGGTTCGTTCCTCCTGCATCAAACAACGAAGCGTCCAGGAGGCCGCTCACGCTCCCACCCCGGAGGAAGAGGATAAACCCTCCCGGCGGTGCCGGCGCTGCCGATCCATCTGCTCTCCCCATCCCCAGCCGGAGCCAGAGGGAATGGATACCCCCATCTCCCGCAGCCCCCGGGGACATCTATTAGCCGCTTACGTAATCCAAACCACCGGCGAGGCGCTTCCAAGGGCTACAAAGCCCTTCCCCTTAATGCCACCGGAGATTTAGAGAGCCCCAATCGAAGGCGAGTGGGAAAGCGGGAGAGGGGCCCGCGGGCGAGGCTGCGCTCGCGGAAAATGCGGCAGCCTCTCCCCCCTCCTAATGCACTCGAAATCCCTGCTGACTCCCAGCTCCGCTGCTAAAAAAAAAAAGAAGGAAAAAAGGAAAAAAAACCCTAAACCAACCCCTAGCTCAGCCTGCGTTACAGTGATATTAAAGCGACGCCGGGAGGGGGAGTTTTTTGGGGGGAAGAAGCATCCGGAGGAATCCGGAGGAGCTCGAAAGCGTTTTGGGAGCGGGCCAGAGGGAGCCGGGGTGCGGATGTGCGGCGGGGCACCCACGTGCTCTGCCAAAGCTGATTAGTCGCTGGTTTTGAGCATCCAGGGGCAGATCCTCCCTGCGATAAACAGCCGTCACCGATCGCGACACGCCCCGGCCCTTCCCTGGGTGCCAGATGCGCTCCCCGCCCGCGGGGCAGGGATTTCGCTCCGTTCCTGCTCCCTCTTCAGGCCGGCTGACCCCACAGCAAGGGAACCGAACCCACCCCCGGGCAAACTCCTCTCCCGCCGCGCGGGTTTTGCTGCGGGCTGAACGCCGACCTCTCCGACCTCTCCGAACCGGCGCGTTCCCTGCGAGACGGGGATTCGGAAGGGCTGCGATGGAATTCAACCCCGAGCTCTCATCTGGCCAGGTCCCTGCTTTCCGTGCCAAGTGACAAGGCAGAAGTCACTGCTGTGCCACCTGACCTCCCGTGCTTGGCCCCCCCTTTGACAATTAACACCCAAACAGCCCCATCCTCAAGGTGACTTTGTGACTCTCCCCTCTGTGTCCTCTCTCTGAGCTTATTTTGACAAACCTCCTTCCAATTTAATCCAAATAACCGCCGAGTTTCTTCTCTGAACTCGGAAAGCATCACAGGATCAGGATCAGGCTGGAAAAGACCTCTGGGATCACTGAGCCCAACCTGTGACCCCAGACACCACCAAGTCCCCCAGCCCAGAGCACCCAGTGCCACATCCAGTCCTTCCCTGGACACCTCCAGGGTCAGGCAGAGGCTCAAAGCAACTGGAGGCAGTGGATGGGACACATTTGCACATTCCAGCACCATCCCTTGAACCAATTTCTGTGCATTTAGTTTTCTTTAATAGGAGCTTAGTTTGAATAGCTGCAAAAAGCCACCAGACTTGGCAGAAGAGACACCAAACAATTGGTGAGAAATGCTACAGAGAATCCCTAAAAGTAAAGGATTGACTGTGGGAGCAAGAGGGAAAATAAAGCAGGAGCCAAACGACAGCTGAGGGACCCTGGAAGGTCTCACCTGAGCAGAAAAGCAACAGTTGCTCAAGAGCAGCCACCAAACCCACAAAAAAAAGAGCTTTGAGAAGGGAAAGAAATGAGAAGGTAATAAAATGTTGGTCATTCCCTCACGGGGAAGTGTTTGGGGATGAGTTTATTGTGGCACCAACTGGTTGTGTTGGTTGGTCAAGGCTGGTCCTCCCTGTGCTGGGCACTGTGTAGATGCAGAATGGGAAGGAGGTTTTTCCAAAAAAACCCCCTAAGGATAAAGAGGAGGGAAAGAGCAGAGCCACCAGCACCATGGAATCAAACAAGAGCTCGGTGCCACCATCTCATTCTAAGGCCCAACCCGCTCAGTGACCGCCTGCAGCTGGAAATTCTACCAGCAAAAACCGGGCATTTCAGCAAAAAGAGAGTAAACCCCTCCAGTTAAGAGCACAGGAAAACCAACCCGAGGAATGCCAAGCCCCCCAGCAGCCTTACCATTGGCATCCTGCACGCCGGTGAGGGCTCCGACCGCCGCCGCCGTTTCTCCAGACAGGACAATCTGTCCCCCCCCTTGGAGAGTGGCTTCGGCCAGCGTGGCCACGGCGTGGGCAGCAGCTTCACTGTGGGCACGGAGGGCAGACAGGGCAATTAGGAACACCAAACCCACCAAACAACACCAAACCCAGCAAACAATCCCGTTTGAACCAGGCAACCCACGTCAGGCGACATCCAGAAGGGAGGGATCCGCCCCGGGCCCGGGTGAAGCGGAAAAATCTACACTGGAGGGGGAATTATGTGGGAAGAAGGTGGTTCCAGTGGCTTTTTTGAGTTTGGAGAGGTCTTAGGACATCCCTGTCCTCTTACCTTTGCATCCTTTCACTTGGGGTTCACTAAAACTTTGGGACAACCCAAGCGGTTGTTCTGTGGGGCTCCCTCCTGCCTCTGCTTTCAGGTACAAAACTCATCCTCTTGGCACATCCTGGGGCTCTGCAGATTCCAGAGCTATTCCCTTCATCCCTGACCCTGCCAGGCCGTGCCCAGGGTCACACCCCCAGCTCTGCCTTTAACTCCTCCCCAGCCAAGTGGTTTAATGATGCTTTTTAATGAGCATTGTTTGTAGCACAGGATTGTTTCATGTCCTCACACAAATGAGGCCGGAGCAAAGGGCCTTCTCATGGAACAACCCTGCTGTGGGAACAGCTAGTGGCAGACATTTGGGAAGGAGTGTGGATGATCCTTTCCTTCCTGCACCCTCCCAGCTTCCCAGAGGCTGCATCTGCACTATCAGCTTGGATTCGTCTGATCCCCTTGGAAACCAGTTTACTTTTTGTTTCCGCAGCCTCTTGGAGCAACAAATCCCACATTTAATCAGAAGAAAAACTGAATTATGGTTCTGCACAAACTCCTGCCTCAGCCCTTTGGCCTGGTACTGTGAGGGATTGAAAAGAACTCTTCCCTTTCTGCTTTCCTCATGATTCCATAGACTTCCAGTAATCCCCTTCCCAAGCTGAAGAGGACTGTGGAATGGATTATTCCTGGGGTTTGATCACTCTTGTCCTTCCCAGACTTTTCCTGTTCAAGGGGAGCGACCACTTCTCACACTATTCCAGATGGAGATGCAACAAGTTAGTCCTGGCTTGTCCTTTGGGCCTTCCCCTCTAATTCCCAATATTCAACTTACTTTTTCAACAGTATCTGCTCAGCAGTGATTAAAAATCCCTGCCATGGGTCACTGGAGGCCCTGGCAGTACTGGGGGATGGTTGGACTCCGGGGGCTCCGAGGGCTTTTCCAACCAAAACAACCTCACAGTTCTTACTATTCTACTGCAGAGAGGCATCTGGGAAACCCCCCCAAAAACCTTTAGGAGAAACCCCACAAACCAAGGCTGTGGAGGAGCCTCTGACCCTGAAGAAGGAGCAGGAATCAGCACCTGTCCTGCAGACACCTGGAAAATGCCTGGCACGGGAATTCCCTAAGGAAATTCAACCAGGTCAAGGGCTGGGTCCTGCACTTTGGCCACAACAACCCCCTGCAGCTGCAGGCTGGGCCAGAGGGGCTGGAGAGCAGCCAGGCAGGAAGGGAGCTGGGAGTTGGGACTGACAGGAAGCTGAACATGAGCCAGAGTGTGCCCAGGGGGACAAGAGGGCCAATGGATCCTGGCCTGGCTCAGGAACAGTGTGGCCAACAGGTCCAGGGAAGTGATTCCTGCCCTGGACTCAGCACTGGTGAGGCCACCCCTGGAGTGCTGTGTCCAGTTCTGGGCCCTGAGCTCAGGAAGGACATTGAGGGGCTGGAGCAGGGGCAGAGAAGAGCAGCGAGGCTGGGGAAGGGACTGGAGCACAAGTGCTGGGAGGAGAGGCTGAGGGAGCTGGGGGGGCTCAGCCTGGAGAGGAGGAGGCTCAGGGGAGACCTCCTCACTCTCTGCAACTCCCTGCCAGGAGGGGGGAGCCGGGGGGGGGGGGTTGGTCTCCTTTCCCAGGCAACCATCAGCGAGACAAGAGGGCTGGGTCTCAAGTTGTGCCAGGGGAGGTTTAGGTTGGAGATCAGGAAGAATTTCTTTGCAGAGAGGGTGCTCAGCCATTGGAATGGGCTGCCCAGGGAAGTGGGGGATTCTCCATCCCTGGAGGTGTTTAAGGACAGACTGGATGTGGCATCAGTGCCATGGGCTGGGAACCACGGCGGGGTTGGATCAAGGGTTGGGCTGGATGATCTCGGAGGTCCCTTCCAACCCAGCTGATTCTGGGATTCTATGAAAAGCCTCTCTTAGGACTGCCCAGAGGGATCTTTGCAGCGCTGGAACGAAACCCTTGGAGGTGCCAGGTGTTTCCAGGCTCCGTACCTGTTGAGTGCCATGGTGACAGTGGCTCCCTGCTGCATCTCCTGGGACGCTGCCACAGCTGCCTCTGCCAGCGATGCCACCGCCTGCGTGGCCTCCGACGCCTGCGTCGTCTGGATGGTCATCTCACCCCCCTGTAGCGTCGCCCAGTTCTGCTCCACCTGCCAGGGACAGCACCAGGAGAGGACAGGAGGGTTGGGTGTCGCCCTGTGGGTGGGTGGGTGGTTGCTCCCTAAAGTGAAATTCCTGAAGCAGAATTCCTAAGGTTTCAAGGAGCGCCCGCGCAGTCCTGCCAACACTCCGGCTTTGAGGGGGGGAAAAAAGAGAGGGGAACCCCTGGATCCACCTGGGAATGTTGCTGGGCAACACCACCCTCCATCAGTATATTCCATAAAGATCCACGAAGGCCCTCAGCCACCCACAGATCCCTCCTGTCCGGCCAAATCCGTGACAGAACGGGATGACGCTGTTGTTGCCATACCCGGATCACAGGCTGGGATTTGATGAATTAGCTCTGCCAAATGGCCATAAATAAAACACAACCAGTTCCACCTCAAACTGAGGAAGAACCACTTCCCATGGAACTCGGGATCAGCTGCCCAGGGAGGGTGTGGAGTGTCCCTCTCCGGAGACATTCCAACCCCGCCCGGATGAGCTCCCGTGTCACCTGCTCTGGGTGGCCCTGGTTGGACTGAGTGACCCCCAGAGGTCCTTCCAACCCTAATAATTCTGGGATTCGGTGTTTCTGCAGTGCTGGAACCCCGGCATGGATCAGATCCCTCAGGAAAACGGGCTGTGTTTGCCTCACAGTTTCCATTGGCATCATCCACTGCCATTCTGGGGAACGGTCCATGTTCCCACTTGGGATTTCTTTGTACAGGACCTGCAAATTCCCAGGGGTTTGAGCCAACTGGGATGTCTCTACGCTGCTCAAGAAAAGATGATGGTGGATGGGAGTGATCTTACAATTCCCTGACTCCAGAGCTTTCCATTAATAAATATTACTTAAAGTTCACCCATCTCAGTTGCTCATTTCCCACATTTCTCCGTTTGGGATTTCACAGCCCACGAGACAATGAATGTGTGGCCACAAAACCCACCAGGATGGGAACTGGAAATATGGACTGAACCCAGAAAAAAGCTGAGGAAGTGGAGGATGAAGGCCCATCACCCCAAATCCTACTGGCTTCTTTGCATGGTGATGAAGATCTTCCTCCAACTCCCATCCCTGCTCTCATCCCCATAAACGTTTCAGGGCCCCTCCTGGTGAGTGGAGACACAAAAATGCTGCAGGAGGTGAGGGGAAAAACCCACCTCTGTTTGTTAAGATGGTTAAAATGGTTAAGAAGGTAAAAATTCCATGGAAATTTTGCCGCCTTCGGGCAAGACAAGGATTAATCCCACCACTGGAAGGAGAGGGAGGGAGAACATCTGCCTTCCCACCCACCATCCCAGTGGCTCTGTGCTCCCTAACAGGGATGGAACAGGGAAAGAAGGAGTGGAAGGAGGGACCTTCCAGGCTCTTCTCCCCACTGACACGAAGGTTTTCCTGCTGGGATATTTTGAAAGGATTGGAAACAACCTCAAAAATGATCCAGTTCCACCCCAGGGGGAGAGACACCTTCCACCGGACCCGGTCGCTCCAAGCTGGCCCGGGATGGATGAGCCCCATCCAGCCTGATTTGTGCCTCTGGAAAATTCCTTTCAGCTCTCAAAAAAAAACTTGGAAAGCCTCGGGGCAGCTGCCAAAAGCGCCTCAAGGTGACTGCGGGCTCCTGGGCTGTGGGATGGGAGCAGGGGCTGGAGCTCGGCAAAGCTGTTCTGTGCTGCCACCTCTCGCCGGGCCACCCCAGAGGGACCTGCAGCCTCACTCAGAGGGGATCTGGGGGCGAGCAGGGGAAAAAGGAGTGAATTTAAAAAAAAAATAATTCGTATTTTTGAAGGAACGCTCCTCGGACGCACAGAAATAAAAAGTGTTATTTGGTTAAAAAAAAAAAAAGGCGGCGGGAAAATAAATGTGTGCAAGTGTAGGAGGTTGGGATCAGGCACCGGAGTGCCAAACAAAAGACAAAATAGATAATTTATAGGAGGTACATTGAAAGGCTAAAGAAAAGGCAAAATAAATAATCTATTGGAGGTATAAAAAGGAAAAGGTATGAAATTCAGACCTAAGGTTTCCCTCATAATTTTGTCTGCAGAGTCCTGAGTCAAAATAACAACAGTTCAGCACCAAATCCACAGAAAAAGTCAGTTGATTAAAAAGATGTGGAAAACTAAATGTGTGCAAGTGTAAGTGTTCAGATTTTGAAATGCCAAAGATAATACATACTAGATAATGGATAGGAGGTACATTGAAATGGCAAAGAAAAGGCAAAATAAATAATCTATTGGAGGTATAAAAATAGAAAAGTATGAGATTCAGACCTAAGGCTTCCACCATAACTGTGTTTGTAAAACCCTGAGTCAAAATAACAACAGTTCAGCACCAAATCCACAGGAAAAAATCCATTATTTGATTAAAAAAAAAGGTGGAAAAATAAATGTATGCAAGTGTAAGAGTTCAGGATTAGGCACTGAAGTGCCAAACAAAAGACAAAATAGATAATCTACAGGAGGTACATTGAAATGCCAAACAAAAACACAAAATAAATAATCTATTGGAGGTATAAAAAGAAAAAAGTAGGAAATTCAGACCTAAGGCTTCCACCATAATTTTGTCTGTAGAGTCCTGAGTCAAAATAACAGCAGTTCAGCACCAAATTCACAGAAAAAGTCTATTAGTTGATTAAAAAAAAAATGGAAAAATAAATGTGTGTGAGTGTAAGAGTTCAGATTTTGAAATGCCAGAGAAAATACAAAATAGATAATGGATAGGAGGTATATTGAAATGCCAAAGAAAAGGCAGAATAAATAATCTATTGGAGGTATAAAAAGGAAAAAGTATGAGATTCAGACCTAAGGCTTCCACCATAACTGTGTTTGTAAAATCCTGAGTCAAAATAACAACAGTTCAGCACCAAATCCACAGAAAAAATCCATTATTTGATTAAAAAAAAAGGTGGAAAAATAAATGTATGCAAGTGTAAGAGTTCAGATTTTGAACTATCAAAGAAAATACAAAATAGATAATGGATAGGAGGTACATTGAAATGCCAAAGTAAAGGCAAAATAAATAATCTATAAGAGGTATGAAAAAAAAAAGTATGAAATTCAGACCTAAGGTTTCCATCATAATTTTGTCTGTAGAGTCCTGAGTCAAAATAACAACAGTTCAGCACCAAATCCACAGAAAAAGTCTATTAGTTGATTAAAAAAAAAAAGGAAAAATAAATGTGTGCAAGTGTAAGTGTTCAGATTTTGAAATGCCAAACAAAACACAAAATAGATAATGGATAGGAGGTACATTGAAATGTCAAAGAAAAGGCAGAATAAATAATCTATTGGAGGTATAAAAAGGAAAAAGTAGGAAATTCAGACCTAAGGTTTCCACCATAATTTTGTCTGTAGAGTCCTGAGTCAAAATAACAGCAGTTCAGCACCAAATCCACAGAAAAAGTCTATTAGTTGATTAAAAAAAAAATGGAAAAATAAATGTATGCAAGTGTAAGAGTTCAGGTTTAGGCAGATTCAGATTTTGAAATGCCAAACAAAAGTACAAAATACATAATCTATAGGAGGTACTAAAAAAAAAATACGAAATTCAGACCTAAGGTTTCCAAGGAGGTACAAACAAAAAAGGGACGAAATTCAGGCACGAGGCCTCCAAAGGGATATAAATAAAAACGCACAGAATTCACACCTAAGGCTTCTGCCACAACTGGGTTATTGTGTTAATTTTGCTGAATTTGGTTTGCAGAGTCAAACCAACCCCAGCCCATCGCTTTCCACATAAAATGACACAAATTTATGCAGAAATCCCCGTTCCCGCGGGCGCCGGCCCCCGGAATTCGGCGTTCCCCGTGACCAGCCGGCTGTAGGGGATGTTGGGTGAGGCTCAGAGGGCCCTGCTCCTGGCTGAGCTGTCCCCAGAGAGCTGCCCCAGGGTCTCACCTCTCCGTCGGCCACCGCGGAGTAGTTCACTTGTGCCACGGTGACCGTGGTGGGCAGCTCGGAGGCGTCGGCCAGCGTGGCCACCGTGGCGCCGGTGCCAACCTGGGGGACACGACAAAACGGGGCTGAGAAGGCCTGCTGGTGCAGGAGGGAGGCCATAAAACCCACGTAAAGGGACATTTGGGTTAAAAAAAGGAAAGAATAAAGGGTTTCACTGTGAGGGTGGTGAGATATTGGCACGGGTCACCCAGGGGGGCTGTGGGTGCCCCAGCTCTGGGAGTGTCCAAGGGCAGGTTGGGAGAGCTGGGGGGGTTCCCCTGGAGAAGAGAAGGCTCCAGGGAGAGCTGAGAGCCCCTTGCAGGGTCTAAAGGGGCTCCAGGAGAGCTGGAGAGGGACTGGGGACAAGGGATGGAGGGACAGGACACAGGGAATGGCTTCCCAGTGCCAGAGGGCAGGGTTATTGGGAAGGAATTCCAGGTGTAAACTAAAGACCAGGGGGCACAGAAATACCTGATCTGTTGATTAAACTAGGTTTTATGGCATTAAAGGAGGGCAGTCCCACCACCTCTGCTCCCATTGCCACCACAGACCTTGTGTGGTGACAGCAGGAACTGGATTTGTTCGTTAAGTGGGTTCATTGAACTCAGCTCAGATCCCTGCCAAATCCAAGGGATGGGAACAAGGGATGGGAGTGGGGAAGAGGGAGGTAAAACTGATTCTCTGGGTGGGAGCGTTGGCTTAACAAACCCGAGGGGTGAGACCTGCAGATAAAGCCAAAATTCCCCAGGCAGACGATTAAATCCCCAGTCAGCCGTGCTGGGAATGGGGAAATGCAGAGGGCCCCACTCACCTGGATGAGGGACACGGTGCCATCGGGGTTGCTGAAGGTCTGTACCACGGTCTGGGAGGGCACCAGGTGGGCGATGCTGTGCGTGGTCGTGGTCTGCGGGGTCTGCTGGTCCTCGAAGGCGTAGAGCAGGTCCTCGCGCCCGTGCTGCTTGTAGCAGTTCTTCACGATGGTCCTCAGGGCCTGGGTCCAGGACACCTTCCAGCACGAGGGGGAGAGGGCAGAGTCAGGGGGGGAAGGTTTTCTGAACCGCTGGGATTTGAATGTTTGTCTTTGCTGGGGTTTATTATGGGATGGTTTGGAACCAACTCGCAAACAAAAGGCGCCGATAATGAATTCCTCTCCTCATCCCCTCCTTTGTCCAGGACTCAGAAATCACCCTGGAGAGCAGCAGGATCTAGGGAAGATGTCCCTGCTCACTGCAGGATGAGATGACCTGTAAAAGGGCCCTTCCAACCCAAACCATTCTGGGGAGAAAACCACCCTGGTTCGGGAGAGCACCGACTGCCACAGCACCATTCCCAGCCCCACCTGGAATCCCTCCCCATCCAACGGGTCCTAAATCACCCCACACAGGTCCCACTGCTCCCACACCACGGTGGCCTTCCCTGAAGACCTCTGTGACAGAAACCTCACCTGTGTGGTGGCATCCACGGCCACAGCTGGCACCCCCCACCCCTTCCCCCCATTCTCTCCCTTTTTCCCGGCTCCGCCGCGCTATTTCCTTGGAGCACCAAGGTCCCTGCTGCTCAGGATGGGACAGTCTCCCTGCCAAGACTCTTCCTTCTGCCACTGGAGGGAAGAACTGCTCCCAGAGCACTGTTTGCAAGCCCCTGTGCTCGGTTTGAGGGCAGCCAGGGGGGGACGCTCACCCGCTGCTTCTGCTCCTCCGTGCGGACGTCGCTGCGGACGTTGGCCCAGGGAATGTCCTCGGGCCACCAGATGGGTTTGCAGCTCTCCTTGCCCCAGCCTGGCTTCCCACGGCCCGTGGAATACTTCAGCATCTCAGGGATGAAGGCTCTCAGCTGTGCCTGCAACGAACCACAGCACAGGGGGGAATTTTTAGGGTCTTTCCTCTCTGGTAGTTTTGAGGCGCTTCCAAGTTATCACACGATACAAAGTTACTACATTTAACACCCATCCTGTTGGAGCCATCGACTGGGAGAGGCCTGGATGCCTAAGGAAGATGGACAATACTTCACCATCTTCTCCCAGATTCAGCTTAGAGCCTGGGAAGAGCAGAGACCCAATTAAGTCAGCTAATTACAGTGCTAAGGCACAACCACATGTTGTATTAACACACTGTACGCTTAAACCCTACCAGGAAGAGAGCAGGCCAACCTCAAAGGGAGAGGATAAATAAACAGATCAGAATGAGGCAGAAAAACCCACAGAACGTCCTCAAAGTGGCAGGAACTGAGCCATGAGCTGGGGTGTATCTCACAGAGATGCTGCAAAGGGGATGGAGCTCCAGGGGCTGCTCGGATGTGAAAACCACAATCTCACACTTCTCCACCCCTGTGCAGCCAAAGAAATTACAAAACCCACACAGGGTTTTGTGACACATTTGGGTTTTGTGCCAGGGATTCCCTGGAGTGTCAGGAAAAGGCTGGTTCAGCTGCAGAACGGAGCAGGAAGAGGAGGAGCTCTCACCTCACGTTGGAGAAAATCACTTTATCTTAAAGCTTCAAACCTGCATCTCTTTTGAGCTTTTATACTAAGTTATTTTATAGAATTGTGGGATCATTGTGGTTGGAAAAGACCTTTAAGACCATGGAGTCCAACCACTGCCAGCACTGCCAAGGCCACCCCTGACCCCTGTCCCCAAGTGCCACATCCACAGGGCTTAGAAATCCCTCCAGGGGTGGGGACTCCACCCTGTTCCAAGGCCTGACCACCCTTCCCAGGAAGGAATTTTCCCAATATCCAACCTGACCCTCCCCTGGCCCAGCCTGAGGCCATTTCCCCTTGGCCTGTCCCTTGTTCCCTGGGAGCAGAGCCCAATCTCCCCCAGTTCCCCCCTCCTGGCAGGG